TATAATTTTGGTTTAAGGTTTAAAGACCATCTCAAGATGACAGTCTTGGGGAAGCTGTCTCGTCTCAACTGGTCCAGTAAGTCCAGATTTTTTAATGGTTTTTAGATGGTGCATGTTCCCCTGAAAATGTTGTGCCCAGGACTGGAGAGTTTACTGGATGTGACATCAGAATTCAATACCTAAATAAGAATGAGGTATTTTATCTTTTTTTTACACAAACTATTTAGCAGGCCAGGTCTCCTCTAGATTCCACTCCTTAAGATGTATAAACGAAGGTGTAGATCCTTATGGTAAAAAGTGTCAACAGTAAAAAAATTTGTCCAGTAGATAATAGGTCCCTCAATCCTTAGTTCAGAGGTTGTCACTTTCTTTCCACAACTTTCTAAGAATATAAGTCATAAAAATGTTATTGACATGCCCACACAAACTTAGTTTATATGATTTTCTGTTAATTCCTTTCATCATGGAGAATGATGCATAAAGAAACATCTTTATTCTTTCTGACAAGTGCATATGGTTTGAATTGATACACAGTGGTTTATTTAGACCATCTCACATCAGTAAGAATTTTAAGTATTGCAACATTTTTCCTATTATAAATAACTCCAGGATATGCTTAGGTTGACTCACTATTTTCAGGTCTCAAATGTAACCTGCTGTTCTCTAGCCTTCTGTACTTTGTTGTTGTTGTTAACGTTCTGCAGTGCAGTAAAATACATATATGGCTTTTCTAGACGTAAGTCTTTGTAAACTCTGTGGTGGAAAGTTATCCACCTGGGGTATTTCTGTTGCAAGTGGCATGAAGCAATCTTCTGGGAAGTTCTCTCTCTCTAGGGGTATAGAATTGGGATTGGTTAGTTTGGCCATCCTGCCAGGCTCAAAAAGGAGCCCTCCTAGAGGCAGAGGGAATCTCTCTGACTGCTGGCTAAGAAAGACGGACTGCTGAGAGAAATGTGTTCCTGAGAGATTTGAGAGACACATGCTGCTGGCAGAGAGACATTGAGAGACACACGCTGCTGGGAGAAACACAAGAGACACATGCTGCTGGGAGATACACAAGAGACATGCACTGCTGGGAGAGAGACTGAGGGTGATTGTTGGCTGAGAGGCTGAAAGTGTTCCTGAACTTGCATTGTAGCTTGCTGCTTTCCTAATAAACCCCATAATCTGTGAGTTCTGTGTGGCCACTGCAGTGAATTATCGAACCCAGTAGAGAGGTAGTGGGTGCTGTGAGAGAACGGTTAGTGTCAGGGCTGGAGGGAGGTGGCATGTCTGGCCTCACAGGGATAGGCCTTGGGCTACTGATGGCGATTCTGTCTTCCTCTTGTGGGGTTAGAGGAGGTCAGAATATGCAGCCTCCCTGCCCCTTTGGCAACTGCATATATACAATTTTCGCTGTCGTCCCCCAAATCATGAAAACCAATACCAAACAGAACAGCAGCGTATCATGCCAATGAAGATTTCTCTTTAGATAGATGCAAATCCATTAATTAATAACTCAGCACTTTTCCAAGGAACTAAATCACCAAGACAGAGCTTTCCCAGATTTCCTACTATGCCCACAATCCATTGGGAAAACTTGGAAATGCTCAAAACTAATCATAGTGTTAATTTAGTACCTAAGAAAAAATTTTTAAAAAAGGTTAAGTGTCATTGAAGTTAATGTGTCTACAACAGCAAAAAGATGCAAGCAATTTCAGTGCCCATCAACAGATCAACAGTTAACTATGATACATATACACAATGGAGTTTGCTGTAACATTAGAGTAATGATGAATCTAAGAAACACATAACATGGACAATAACATGGACAAACCTTACTGATATGCTGAATGAAATCAGTAAATCACAAAAGGGCAATTATTTTAAGACAGCTACTGTAAAGTTAAGAAAAGGTTAATACACAGAAAGAACCATTCTTTGAAGAACAATTCCTCTCACCAAGGTGAGAGGGTACGATGTAGTAAATTACACAGCATGGCTTTTCTAGCCATAGTCTTTGTAAACTCTATGGTGGAATTTGCCATGAGCAACTGAGTAGCTCCTTATTGTTAAATTTATCCACTTGGTGTATTTCTGTCAGAGCAGCATGAAGGAATCTTCTGGGAAGTTTGCTCTCTCTTAGGAGTATACAATTCTGATGTTGGGATTGGTTACTTTTACTATCCTGCCAGGCTTAAAATGGGCCCTCTTAGAGGCAGGAGTCTCTCTGCTGGCTGAGAAAGATGTGCTGAGAGACACACTGAGAGAGACATGAGAGACACACACTGCTGAGAGAGAGATGTGCTACTAAGAGAGACTGAACACGTTTCTGAACTTGAATTGTAGCCTGTTGCTTTCCTAATAAACCCCCTAATCTGTGAGTTCTGCGTGGCCACTGCAGCAAATTACTGAACCCAGCAGAGAGGTGGTGGGTGTGGTGGGTGCCATGGGAGATATGGTTGTTGTCAAGGTTAGTAACAGGGCTGGAGGATGGTGGCACGTCTGGCTTCCTAAGAACGGATAATTCTGTCTTCCTCTTGTAGTTAAAGGAGGTTAGAAGATGCCTTCTCCCTGCCCGTTTTGCAGAGGGGAAGAAAGAAAAAATCACCAACTAGAGGATAGACATATATTAACTTGGGTGAAGGGAAAGGCAATATACCAAGGGGTGTTGTTATGTGCTGTCAAGTCGGACTCGACTCATAGCGACCCCTCCTTGGGTTGCCAAGGCAGTATCACTACGGAAGTAGATTGCCCAACCTTCCTTCCGAGGAGTGGCTGGTGGGTTTGAACTACCAGCCTTCTGGTTAGCAGTCAAGTGCCTTAGGCACCATGATACCAGAGCTCCTATACCAAGGGGTAGGTCTGCACAAAATGATCAAGGCAGTGGACACATAAGGAGGAGGAAAAGAGTTAAAGGCAGCAAAGGTAAGTATTATATACACAATCCTTCAGTAACAGTAATAACAGTAATTTACAAGTGGATAGATACTCAATCTGAACAGGGGTGGGAAGGTGAATGGGATAACACCCATGAATATGTATAGATTTGACAGAAGCTATCTCTACCTACGTGGTTATATGTGCTTCAAATATATCCATGAAAGTAGTTGGAGCATAAAGGGGACAAAGTTATGAAAACATCTTAGTCATAACCAAATACCTTGAGGGAATGAGTCACCGGGTATGGGCACTAAGGTCAGTTAGAAGAACAAAGTCCACAAAAACAATGTTCTGCATCCTACTTTGGTAAGTAGTGACTGAGGTCTCAAAAGCTTGTGAACAGACATCTAAGGTGCAACTATTGGTCTCTCCCTGTCCAGAGCAAAGGGTGAAGAAAATCAGACTTAGGAAACAATTACTCCAAAGGACTAATGGAGCATGCAAACCCCAGCCTCTAAGACTCTGAGATCAGAAGAACTAGATGGTGCCTGGTTACCACTGCTGACTGCTCTGAAAAGGATCACAACAGGAGGTCCCGGATTGAGGGTTGAAAGCATCACATCAGGGAATCCAAGAGTCATAATCATGTGACACCCAAACAGCTCAATATGAATGCAGGAGGGTAACTGGTTTTATTGTTGACAATTTGTCACTTATTATCTTCAAGGCAATCTCATAGACACAAACACATTGACTTTACAGATTCTTTAAAAAGACAAAGGACATATCACTAAAGTACCCTGTAACAGAAGAGTGAGAAGAAATGCAGTATTCCCAAATGGGAAGAAATCTCATCATAGAACACTTTCAAGAACAAAAAGTATTCTTATAAAATTAACAATAAGCACAGAGAAGTAAAGTAAGCTTCCATTTCCTTTTTCTTTATTAAAAACCTCAAATCACCAACTCATGTAAATTAATTCATCAACTCATAAAAGGAGTAGAAATAAAAAGTCCAATATCAATTAAAAAAATATTTGACACACCATAATGTGTGTATATAGCCTCTTAAACAGTTTAGCTTTTAGACTGACTCAGTATTGAACACCCAGCCTTTTTCAGGAAGTCATGCAAATCCAAGTATCATTCTGTGTGGCCATCAACAATCCTCTTTTTTTTATTGAACAAAGACATCACTTCCTTAAATACTTCTTAGTGTGATCATCTTAAATCTGACATCATTACCAGACACAGTGTTTTAAAGAAGTCCATTTTTGACTTTTAAAACAAACAACTTTACTATTTGATTACATTCAGTTTAGAAAAATGTGAAGATACAGAAAAATATAAAGAAAATAAAAATTATCCAGTATCCATCTTCTAAATATGATAAAAGATTATATATATTTCTTTCTAGTCTTTTCATATGGTTACACAGAATTTTAAAACAAAGTACTGTACATGCTTACATATCCTTTCTGCATTTCATATCAATAAAGTAACCATTTCCTTAGAACATGTAATATCAAGTGAAAATGTAATATTCAGCTGGCTGCTGCAAAATCTAATTACAGCTAACCCATAATATACTTTTAATTGGTGAATATTGAGACTTTTGATTTTTGGCTATTGTAACTAATACTATATTGGACATCTTTCTTTATACACAATTCTGATAGTTTTGAAAACATAAATTCTTACAAGTACCTAGCTCAAAGAGTATATTTTTTAAGCATCTTGATACATTTTATCAAACTAGTGTCCAGAAAGACTACCAACTTACAGCCACATCAATACATAGCCCAAGAGTCCGATTTCTTCTTTATATTCCTTGTAACATGGGAAACTGAATGTTACCCATTTCCCTTTATTGGTAATTGGTATCTTGTCTTTTTTCTAAAATGTAAGATCTTTCTGTATGCTTACTGGTCACTTGCTTTTCTTGTTTTTTGAGGCAGTCCAGTCTTGTAGAAGGAATCGCTAGTAAGTGCCATTTTTTGTCTTTCTTCTCACATTCTTCCTAAGCAAGCAAGGCCTTGGAAGCTGTGTGTATCTTCTACGTCCTTTCAAATTTAGCAGGAATTTCCAAAGTGACTGGAATAAGAAAGTCTTCTTTTCTCTTGGGCAGCCATGCTATTTTAATGTCTTGGTAGTAAAACCGAAAACTGGACCATACTCTGAAAGAAAGTAGGCACAGATTATGATGAAGAACTTACCAGCAGGCAGTGGTTCTCATGCTTGGATGAGAATGGTATCACCTGGGGTGACTGTTAAAAATCAGATTCTGATTTGACAGAGTGAGGACCGATGGGACAGGCACCTTGAATAATAAGCTCTCCAAAAAAACTGTCATTTCATAGCTCAAAAATCACTAACCAGATGTGATAGGCATAATTCTTCATTCGTAGATCCTCAGATTCCTTTCCTGTAGAGTGAGGTATTAAAAATGCTAATTTCAGAGGATTGTTCCGATTCTTTCTTATTTCAATCCCCTTTTATAGCTATGAGGAGGCACTTTATAAACCATTCACCAGGCAGGGTTATGGTTTATGCAACCTCTCCTTCCATGTGGCAGACCTGCTTTGATTCATAGCCAATGCACTGCCAGCACAGCTACCACCTGTGTGTCAGTGGCAGCTTACTTAGAAAACAAAAAACAACAAACCAGCCAATGAAAACCCTGTGGATCACAATGGTCTGATCCCATTGTGTATGGGGTCCTCATGAACTAAGAATGTAAGAATTACTGCTAACAACATTATACATCTTATTCCACTGTAAAAAAAAAAAAAAAAAAGTCATTAAAATTTTTAATGTGTCAAAAAAATCCAAACACAACAGGATATTCATCACAGCAAACCTTACATATCTCTGTAAACTATAGTTTGGCATACAGTGGGTGCTCACTTAAGTATTTCTGAATTAAATTAGTGAGTGAGTGAATGATTTTATATCTCATTGTTCAGAAGACTGAAATATTCAGAATAAGAGATTATTATCATTCTGTGTCTTACTGCAACAGAATGGAGGCTACAATCTTCAGTTTTATCTAGAGCAGTAATTCTTCATTTTCTCCCTTCAGGTTATATATTCCTTTCAAGCATTTGATGAAAACTATACATACTAAGCCTCTTTAGGAATGCATGTATTCAAAGACACACAATTTTACACACATTTCCAGAAGCTTCAGAAAAGAAAAAACAGAACACTGATTTTTAACATCCCATCATTTTTACTTGAATAAAATTAAGCTGAAGTAAATAAATCAATTGCTCAAGTATTTACATTCAAGAAACTATGACTAAATGGAGCAACTGAATTGTACATGTATAAAATGGTAAAAATAAATGTTTTAATATATATATATTCACCACAAACACATCAAAACAAAAACATTATTGTATCTTGCAGGTTTCCTATGTGCAATTATTATAACTTCCCCTCACATCAGCCTCAGCAGTAGCAAAAGTATGAGTCACATTTTCAGCACTTTATTACTCAGTCAAGCAAAAGTTAGCTGTTGCACTGTATGCTCTTTACACTCAACAGAAAAACCTAATGTAAAAAAACCCCAAAAAACAAAAAAACAAAACCAAAAACCAACAGAAACTAAATCTACGTGGTCATTCCCTAATTCACAGAAATTAATTTCCTTTGTTTCTCTTTTCTTCATAATAATAAGGGCTTCCCTTTCTTCAACATAGGATGAAACACTTCATGGGAGATAGGGGCTATTATTTATTCATTAAGCGATCTCTATCTCCTAGGTATACAGTGTTGAAATCAACAGAGGTGTTCTCTGCTGCTTCTGGACAAAGTCTGGTGGGGAAGGTATATTACGCATTCCAATGCTGCTGACCTCGTTTGTCCTAAAGACACACCTTATGGCAGTGGAATGCTGGGGCACGCTTGACCAGCTCTAAGAGCCAACTGTATGCATGTTTCCCAACTAATCGGTGACTTCATGTTGCAAATTTTGTATCAACAAATGTGCTGGAACATTTATACCACAGAAATCAGCAAACACTGTAAATCAGTACCATCTCCAGCAGTTGTCCAGCCTTTACCACATCAATGTCACTAAATCTGTAGATCTCATTTGGACTCCTAGGTGTTAAGGCAGGCAGGGAGGGCTTGTATCAATTTTTCAAATCTTTTTTCAACCACTGCTATAACAACAACAAAAAAACAAACTCAGTGCCGTCGAGTCGGATCTGACTCACAGCGACCCCTCCTTGGGTTTCCGAGGTGGTATCACTATGGAAGTAGATTGCCCAATTTTCCTTCCAAAGAGCTATTGTTGTTGTTGTTGTTATGTGCCGTCGAGTCGGCCCCGACTCATAGCGACCCCTCTTGGGTTTCCGAGGCAGTATCACTACGGATGTAGGATTGCCCAACCTTCCTTCCAAGGAGTGGCTGGTGGGTTTGAACCGCCAGCCCTCTGGTTAGCAGTCAAGTGCTTTAGCCACTATGCTACCAGAGCTCCTAAAGAGCTATAGAATCTTAAAATATATGTGCGTTCTAAGAGATCCCAAGATGCACTGGCTACCTACCCTCTTCGGATACAGGTGAGTGCAGTATCAATTTTAGGCAATTCCTTATCTAGTGTGGTTAATCAAGAGAGTCACATAATGTCCAAAGAAAAATCATGTATCTTTGAGTTTATCAGTCAGTTTAAATTATATTCTGTGGATTAACACTAGAGTTGGGATGCTTCCAATCTATAATACAGCTCATATTTTATCATTAATATCTTCCAAACCAAAACCCAGAACTTAGGCTGATGCAAACTACTGTATTTTTATGGAAATAACACGAGTTACACAGTATCATTTCTGTCACCTGCACACCCCTCCCCCAAGCTATTTTCATAAATGTGCTATACCATGCATTATATGGGTGGGGGCAGTATTTCTGAGAAAAACACCTCAAGTAGGCATTCTTGGCACCATTTTGGTACTGCTATGTGTGTCTTGACTTTAAAGGCCTGCTGACACTTTGCATGGATCTTTCAAAGAGGAAATAGTTCTGTGCCAATGTAAGCTATTACGTTTGATTGATGGAGAAAGTACTATCAATTATCTGAAGTAAGACTAAGGGATACCATACTATGGCACACTAGATAAACAAAACCATCCGCACTTTATCCCTCAATGGACTTGTATTACCAGCCAAACATGTTGTTGTTGTTGTTGTGTGCTGTTGAGTTGGACCCGACTCATAGCGATCCCTCCTTGGGTTTCCGAGGCAGTATCACTATGGAAGTAGATTGCCCCATCTTCCAGCCAAACATATGACCATTCAATTTTGCAAATAGTCAACATGGTAGTAAATGGCATGAAAACTTACTGAAAACATCTTGGAACACTAAAGCACATGAAGTGAGAGAACAAAGGTGAACTGTGAATAAGAGAAAAACGGAGCTGAAAGCTCTATGGTATGGTCTGATGGTTCAGATACTTACCTTCAGGTTATGGAGGGTTTCAGACCATTCCATGGACCCTATCTGAGGTATGGTAGTGAGAAGTAAACTTTTGGCTTTATTGGCATTTTCTTTCAGGGTCTTTATGACCCTATCTACTGAAACCTAGAGAAACAACAGCATAGGACATTAGTGATAATTTCAATTTCCACTCCTTTCTACAGAACACATTCGTACTTTTTCCTTAGTCCCAACATGATCAGGGAAGTCAGTTCACTGTAGTTTCAATTCTCTGGGCCCTAGCTCTGCATTTATACATCAGTGCAGTTTAAAAAAAATTCTTTTTAATTTTTAAAATGCATCAATGTCATCTCTGAAAAGCACTGAAGGGTTTCCAGTATGCAGATCTTAGAGAAATGATCTCAGATGTACAATGTATTAGCATGGTTGCTACACTGGATAACCAAGAGAAGATAAACATATTTGTTTTCAGAGATGTATTCCAGTTAATAAAAAGAAAAATGATGGAACCGAAATTATCAGTGTTTACAGCCCTTAATGAATTAATGATTTGGCTGGTAACAAGATGACCATACAGAAATGTAACTAGTAACTATGTGAATGCTTCTTGGGGGAAGAACAACATACTGGTGATGGCACATGAATCCAATGAAATCTCTAGTTCCAACTATCAACATACAGAAAATACAGAGGATGGAAAAACATGTTAAACCTAATGGGATGATCTCAGCAATACAGACTGTCAAGTACTTCCTAGGACAAATGACCTAGCTATCTTTCAGGACATTTCTGTTAACTGGAAACTTGGAACTTCTGTCTGGACATATTAAGATATTATTGTCACAATGAGTGGGATAATAATGTGGGTATGTAAGCTACCTTCCTAAGCAGTTATGGGTAAAATTATGAATGGGAGCATAGATGAAATATGACCAGCCATAGGTTGATATGCTAATGGTTGAAGCTGGTTGTTGGATACAAGGAAACCTGTACTTTTGTGTATGATTAAAATAATTTCCTAAGGAAAAGGTGAAAAAAATTGTAAATAAACAATTGACTGCCAGAGGCAGAGTACTTCTCATGCTTCACTATGCTAGTCGGAAATCCAACATTCAGGGGCACAAAGATTACACTTTTCTTTTTATTTCCTTTAATATAAAGTCAAGATTCCTCCCACCAACACTGAAATATGTTTAGGAAAAAATGATGAGCACCGAAACAGAGGTGAGCTAGGTGCTGTGGGCATACATAGCGGAGACCAGCTAGCTAACGGTTGGGTATAGAACCAGGGATGCTTTAAGCTGAGTCTTGGAATGCACGATCACAAAGCATCCTAGAGATTTACTTTATACTTATTTACACTTTTCCTGTCACTGATAATCAAACCCACTGTTCAAAGTCCAGCTCAAATTTCACAAACTTTAAGGAGTTCTAGTAGCACAGTATATAAGGCATCTCATTGCTAGCCAGAAGGCTGGTGGTTCAAACCCACCAGGCACTCTGTGGAAGGAAAGAAGACTGGGCAATCGACTTCTGTAAAGACTGACCACCTTGGACACCCAATGGGAGTCACTGAGTCAGAATCAACTCCATGGCAGTGGGTTTGGTGTTTCCCTGGTACACCCCACACCACTCCATCATAAGCACCATCTGATGACCATGCTCCTGTAAGCCAGCATTATGCTGGTTGGTCTACGTATATATTTTTGTTTAATTCTCCTAATAATCCTGCGAGCTTGGAATCATAACTATAACAACAATTATCATCCCCCTCCAGTTTACATTTCTGAAATTATAGTTTGTGAAATTTGAGCTGGACTTTGAACAGCATGTTAAAGTATCAGTCACAGGAAAAGTGTAAATAATAGGCTAAATTAACTTGCCTATTGTCACAATGGGCACAATTAAATGGAACGACTGAAATTTGAAGGTGGGTTTATGGAGTTTCAAACCTTATCATGCTAGGTTGCGTTATCTTGGTTTAAAGCATAGTGACTCACATGGCCGGCCGAGATGGTGCTGTCTTTCATCTATGCCTTTCTTGTGATATTCAATAGTATTTATCTCTGTGCCTTACCTCTTGCACAAAGCTTAGTTTCTCTGCTCCTAACTAAAGTAGTTCGAATGACTGCTTTTCAAATCTCCCTTGGTCTACTAAGGAAAAGCTCTGCAAAAGAGAAGAAAAATGCTACTGGACTGAGCACAAAGCCACAAACAGGCAACAATCTGCTCCCAACGCAATGCAAGAGCTGGAAATCCCTGTTGACTGGAAAGAGCTTCTCAACACCATCCCTTAAGTTACCAGAACTGCCAAATCTGATACTACATTGTGACTTAAAATCAGGATTTGTAAATCTCTTACAAATCAAAGATGCTGGATTAATTACAAAACACATTGGTAACTTCCAGCATTATACAAAGCAGGTCTGGTCTTCTTAGAGAAGTTATAAAACTTGGGGATTAAAAAATTCACAGGCAGAAAGAATATAGTCAAAAAGCTAAAATGTGGAACTGGGAAGAGATGAAATTTTCCCTCAGAATAGGATCTAAAATGTTATCAAGGCCTCGAGAACCTTCTTTATTCTTCTTCATATACAGAAGGCATCCTGGGAGTTAGCAATCATTACACTGAGGCATCAGGATGAGGCCTTCATGGAAAACAAAGAATCTGTGTTCATCTACAACCCAAACTCTGTATACACGATGGACAGACAGCAAGAACATTTCACTCCATTTACATGAAAATGGATGGCAAAACAAGCACCTCTCTGAGATGGTGCAAAGGGTTCCCTTGGAGAAACAGCACTTCCCCTAAAGGAGCCCAGAACTACCACTCCCACTTCTTCCTTACTTCAAGATTCCTTGACTGTAGCTTTGTCCCTTTCTCTATTTTAAAATGAGATAAATGACAGGAGAAATGATTTAGTTTCTTCAAATAAAATGCAATGAATGAAAAAGAGGGAGGTGATATTAAAACACACTTAGAGGCACTGTTGATCCTGGGATAAAAGTATCCTTTTTTTCCTGTGAACATCTTTGTTTCCACCTTCCAAAATGGGAGTAATAGAAAATATTACCTGATGTCAGTGCATAGAAAAGGTAACTACGAATCTGTTTTGTCTTCCCACTACTGTTTGGATTGGCTTTCCAAAAATACTCTATTTTCATGTCAATATTTACATATTTTATCTCTTTCCATACATACACATATCTTTTAATAGAAATGATAGCATGATAGAATAGGTGTGCACCTTGCTTGTCTCTTGACAATTCATCCTTTCTTATCAGCACATGAACCTTAAAGAAAGGTACTTTCTGGAATTAATGCAATAGAAACAAATAGCTGAGACACTCTCTTAACTGGTTTTCATGGTACTCAGGAACCCACTCACACAGCCTCAGAAGAGAATTCCACCTACCGCTTCCTCATGCTCCTTCCAGCAATCGTAATCTGTTGCCATGGCAATACTTGCATAGCAAATCCCAGCCTCCTTAGCAAGAACCACCTCTGGAACTGTAGTCATATTGATAACATCTGCCCCCCAGGTGCGGAACATGAAACTTTCTGCTCTGGAGCTAAACCGAGGCCCCTCGATTGTGACCATTGTCCCCTTGGAGTGACATCGGAGTCCTAGCTTCTTAGCAGTCTCTATGAGGACCTGAAAGAGACAGAACCACAAACTCAAAACATACGAACATGTGAACAGCTTAAGCTTTTATTTTTCCTTGATGTTTAACAGGTCAATTAATTAAAGAAGTTCAGAGAAAAACTAGAAAATGACAGAAAGGTCTTTCCTAGACCCCTACCTATTTATATAATCCTGTTTCCTTTTCTTCTTGCACATAATGCTCACAGCTAGAAGCTACACCGATTTGTTTCCATATCCCAGGCATTTGTTTTTATCTCATTAACTTCTTCCCAATGTTAAGACACTTAGTTGGTTTATGAATACAGGCAATTTTATAGTCTTAGTCTTATAGTTAACCTCTAACGCTAACCTGAGGAGCTTCTCATCATTCACATCTCCCTGAAGAGAAGTCCTGACAACTGTTTCTAGGCTCCTGACAAGTTCCATTCCCAATGCTCTTTTATACTAAATCTGAAGATGTTTATAAAAGCTTTTCAGGTGAGAAAGTGATTTCTTCATTTGTTTCTTTTTTGCCTGTTGCCTCTCCAAGGGAATATGGTGAAAAGAGAATGGGGCTATGCTGATTTTTTGTCTTAGGAGAAACTTACCTTGGCATCCGTTTAGTGACAAGGCTTTGCATGGGTTTTAGAAGCATTATTAAAAAGCATAAACACTTTGTGCAGTATTTTAATTAATAACTGGCATCTAATCTTCAGGTTATTAACTTCCTCTTTTCTTAGACCGTGTTTCAGTAATTCCTTTTTAATTTAAAAAAAAAAAAAAAAGTCTTTTAAACCCAACCGCTAATCTATAATACACACAGTAGAAAACTCACTTAACCTCTGTATGTCTGACTTTTCTCATCTGTAAAATGGGAATAATAATGCATAAGGGAGCTCTGGTGGTGCAGTGATTAAAGCATTTAGCTGCTAACTACAAGGCTGGTGGTTCAAACCTACCAGCCAGATGAGGCAGTCTGCTTCCCTAAAGATTTATAGTCTTGGAAACCCTATGGGGCAGTTCTACTTTGTTTTATAGAGTGCCTGTGAATTGGAATCGACTCAATGGCAGTGTATTTGGTTTTGGTAATACTGCCTAACTCAGAGATGCTGTTTAAGGATTAAATGAGTTCAGTTATGCACAGCACAGAATTATGCTGGGCACACTGTGAACACTACATAAAAGCTAAACTTGTCTTCTCATACTAATTATTAATGGCAGCATCTTCACATTTATAAAATAATTGGCAAGGTTTCCTGAGACACCATATAAATTGAAGCCTCTAAGTCAACAGAAAGCTCCAATCTGGGCCAAAATCATACCTGTATCTGCTTTAGCATAGGAGAAAATTAACCAATTGTCTTAAAAATAATACTATGCTATGGAACTAGGGGAGGTTTTTTTTTTTTTTTTTTTTAAATATTTATTGTGATTTGGGTGAAAGTTTACAGAGCAAATTAAATTTCTATACAGCAGTTCATAACACATTTTGTCTCATGACATTGACTACAATTTCCCACAATGTAACAGCTCTCTTCCCACCTCCTCCCAGTAGTTACCTCTTCCCTGTGTCCTCCCCTCTCATGCACTCCTGCCTTCCTGAGCTGTCACCCTGTGCAAACATTGCCCTTCTGGTCTTCCATGACTGATCGCTCCAAGGAGTGTCTCTACCTGATGTAAATGTTCACCCCATATGCCTGTCTAATGTTGAGCTGGAACCACAGGAGTGAGTTCAATTCCAGATCTGAAGGGTAACTAGGGGCCACAGCCTCAGGCGTCTCACCAGACTCTATCAGACTAGCAAAACTGGTCTTCTTTTTTTAAAAAATGATTTTGAGTTTTGTCCCACATTGTTCTCCCACTCTATCCAGGATCTCTCATATTGATTCCCCTCCGAGTGGTTGACAGTGGTAGCTGGGCACCATCTAATTCTTCTGGTCTCATGGTCATATAGGCTGAGGATCACATGGTCTACCAGTCCCTTGGACTAATTGTTTCCATGCATCTTTGGTTTTCTTCATTATCTGCTCTGGACAAGGAAAGACCAATTGTAGCATCTAGATGGCTGCTTGTAACCTTTTAAAACCTCCATCTCTACTCACCAAAGGAAGATGTAGAACAATATTTTTGTGTAGTATGTTATGCCAGTTGAGCTTGATGTCCCCTGCAACCACAGTTCTGAGCCCCCAAGTCCAATTACTTGTTCCCTCTGGGTAGCTGGCTGTGGCCAAGAAGCCACAACCTTGCTCTATGTCAGCTCTACTATACACCTGGACATTCTTATAGCACATACAAATAAGCATGTAGAAACACTGTCTGCCAGCCCTATACATGGTCATAGGCACACTGCCCCCTGCCTAGACATACCCAATTATTCAGCCTGTCTACCCATCTATCCACCTATAGATCAATGCCTGCCATCACTGACAACGCGAAAAAAGGGTTCATCTCTGTTATCTGTATCTCCCACATATCTCTGTCTTTTTCTTCCTCAGTGCCACTGTGTTGATCACTCATATTTGGTTCATCACCCCTCCCCCTCACCCAAATTAATACTTGCTTCTACCTATCTAGCAGTGTTCCCTTCCTTCCCCTCCCACCCCTGGTAACCAACAAAGAAAGTTTCCTTCCATATACAAACGTTTCTTTGACTTTTTACAATAAACTAATGCAATAGGAAATAGGGGAATTTTAACAAAAGCTTTGGCAATTGCAAATTTAGAACCATAAAAAACCATAGACAGTGAATAGCTGATGCTACCTTATTTCCTTATTTTTATTAATCTTATGAATGTGAAAATAAAATCGTAATTTATCACAAAACTTTTCCTCAAGAGGACAGGTTATCAATAAAGGCCTAAATCCTTTTTTTTTTTTTCCCAAAATTAAGATAAAACCAGTCAGTCCTGATTTCTTGAAATGTTTTTAAAGATCATGAAAAACCAGATTGTGTATCTTGGCCAAAGTTCAGAGTGCGTCTAGATACATGTACTGATACACGCAGGAAGATCACAGCTGCTGCATGCCAGTCCATGTCCTCAGATTCATTCTGGGAATTAGGTACCATGGCCCCTAGGAGGGGGCATGGAGGAGGCTTCCGGGGGTGGGTGTGCCAGTCACGCCTTGCCAGAACTGGCACTTTGCACTATCAAGAGCAGATGAGGCCACAGTAAGGAAGCAGAAATAAAACAGTGGGCAGGGTGAGAGATCTGGGGGCCCGAGGCCAAGATGATTTCATTTTTTTTGTCCTGAGTAATGAGAATGGAACGAGCCTCACAAAGGTTCTGGCAGCTTTAGATCACAAGACCAAATGTATTTAATGTGTCACAGCTTTCATGCACTTGTTTCATATCCCCTCCTAAAACGACCAGAAGCTACATTAGGTTTTAGAATAATACTTGTACATGGCACAAAATGTAAGCAGAACAAAAGGAGTTTTTCTCCCACCCCTGTGTTTTTAGGAACCTAGTTTAACTTCAGGAAAACCACTGTTACCTGATTTTCTATTAACTTTCCAGAAATACTTTATTTGCATGTAAGTATCTACATATTTATCTATTTACGCATACACACACACACACACACAAACACATTTTAGCACAATTGCTAGGGTATAATACATCTGTCATGTACCTTGCTTCCTGACAATTCATCTGGATAATTCTTGCTTATCATGACCTGAAATATGTAGATATTGAAAGTAAAAAGTGATAATTACTACATCTACCCTTTCCATTTTTCAGACAGTATTTAAAAATGTCTTTTAGAGCATATTAAAAAAAAAAATCACACCCACTGCCATCAAGTCAGTTCTGACTCATAGCAACCCCCACTGGGTTTCCAAGGCAGTAAATCTTTACGGTAAATTGCCCTTTCTTCTGCAGAGTGGCTGGTAGGTTCGAACGGCCAGTCTTCTGGTTAGCAGTCCAATGCCTTAAGCACTGCACTACCAGAGCTCCTTTTAGAGTATGTAAGAAGAAAATAATATTCTGAAGGCTCATTTTTCCTCAACTGCTTTCCGTAATATTTTTTCAGTCCTTATAAAGGATGTGTGGCTTGGCTAGAGTACTATTAGCTGAATCAGTTTGGTCTCAAGGGAGGCCAAACTGCAGCCCTGGAAACTTAACCCAACCACCACACTGCTGGCACCGTGATTAAGAGCTCAACTCTAATCGAAAGGTCAGTGGTTCAAAATCACAAGTGGCTCTGTGGGAAGAAGATGTGGCAGTCTGCTTCCAGAAAGATTACAGCCTTGAAAACCCTATGGGACAGTTCTCTTCTCTGTCCTGTGGACACTATGAGTCAGAATTGATGCACTGGTAATGAGTACGTAGGTCACTGGCTCATCCCCACTTACCTCTATACCTACTTCCCTATCAGCTCTATCTGGGACAAGATCTCAGATTTATATTAACATGCAAAGAATCTCCCTAGCTTATTTCTTACAAAACTGCCTCAATTTTGAAATGCATAGAACATTTTTTCACACTAAAATCCTCCCAGAGGGCAAATATTACATGAATAGATTTGTGCTGCAAAATTAATCATCTACTTAATATATGAAGGTGCTAAAATTATCTGAATGATTACATGTATAGGTATTTAAATTCCCTAGTCAATGGAAGAAATGATGAATTAAAAGAGCTGAACAGATGACTTGAAAGGGTCGCTTGAGAAGACAAAGTAAAGTATTATAAGGAAATGTGCAAAGACCTAGAGTTAGAAAACCAAAAACAAAGAACACGTTTAGCATCTCTTGAGCTGCAAGAACTGAAGAAAAAAATTCAAGCCTTGAATTGTAACACTGAAGGATTTTATGGGTGAAATACTGAACAACACAGGAAGTATCAAAAGAAGACAGAAGGAACAGAGACTCATGGTATCAAAAAGAGTTGGTCAATCATTTTAGGAGGTGGCATATGATCAAGAACCAATGGTACTGCAGGAAGAAATCCAAACTACACTGAAAGCACTGGCAAAAAACAAGGCTTCACAAATTGACAGGATAACAATTGAGATGTTTCAACAAAGGAATGCAACACTGGAAGCACTCACTCACCTATGTCAAGAAACGTGGAAGACGATTACCTGACCAACTGATTGCCTGAGGAAAGAACAAATCTGTCTTGGAAGAAGTATAACCAGAATGCTCCTCAGAAGCGAGGATTGTAAGATTTCTTCTTATATATTTTGGACACGTTATGAGGAAGGACCAGTACCTGGAGGAGGACATCATACCTGGTAGAAGAAGGTCAGAGAAAAAGAGGAAGACTCTCAACGAGATGGACTGACAGAGGGGCTGTAACAAGGGACTCAATCATAGCAATGATTGAGAGGATGGTGCAGGGCCAGGCAGCGTCTTGTTCTGTTGCATACAGGGTCACTATGAAACTGAACCAACTTGATGGCATCTCACAACAGTAAGCATACTTGATAAAGTAGATTTTAATAGGAAGTTTATCTCTGACAATAATTCTGACCTATTAGGATGTACCAGACCCTCAAACCTGGGATTGTAAGATTAAACGAACACCTAAGAAATTGTGTGGTCCAAGAATTCAACTTTTGGGTTGTGGTAGCCACTTTTGCTCCCTGGGAGCTGAAATGTGAATTCTAATCTTAGACCACTGTTGGTCTTGGTGGGACTGCTTACTTAGTTCTGAGAGTTTATTATACCCTTGGAGCTGAGACCGGGTAATAAATAGCCAAACACAGATCAAAGATAAAAGATGTCATTCTGACAATTTTTAGATTATCAATAACAATAATAAAATTTAATAAAAGCAGTTATCATTCACTGGATGTTTTGCTACTGATAGCATTGCTCCAAGCACTCTGTACACATGGTTTTCTTCCTCATAACAGTTGTATGAAGCACAAGCTATCATTATCTTCATTTTATAAGTGAAGACACTGAAGCTCAGAGATATAAAGTAACTTGTCCTATGACACACAGCTATTAAGCTGAACAGCAAAGATTTACTCTTGTTACCTGGCTCCAGACTGTATACTCTTGACCAATATGCTATCCCACACTAAATCAGTTAAGAGGTTTCCTGAGAGCAAAAATCAAAATGTATAAAAAAGTAGATTGCAACTGAGTGGTTCAGCTGGCAAATGTTAGAGTAGTTGAGGCATTAGCCAAAGAAAACCAAATATCAAAACCAAACCAGTTGCCAGAGTCGATTCTGACTCATGGAGACCCCACGTGCTCCGCAGATTCTGATTGGCTAATTTTTTGCATGTAGCTCACCACATCTTTCTTCTGAGGCACTTCTGGGTGGACTCAAATCACCAACCCATGGGTAAGCAGCCGAGCGCTAAACGATTTGCACCACCCAGGGACTCCTAAAGGGAAGTAACTCTTTACAAAACCTTGCCTAACCTTCCCCTTGAGAAAGAGAGTGGGACCACCTTACTCAGCCAATTACTCTAACTCTAGATGCCACCCTAAGCCCATATGGTGTATTTCAATACACCTCCCAGAGAGACTACAAACCTCTCTCGTCTTGGGGCAGAATGGCTCAGCCATTGGAATATGGCACACTCCTCTGGCACAGGAACGACTCCCATCATAGAAGGTCTGAGGCCTTATGGTAGTCCTACAAGATAAAGTGAAAAGGTTTTCTTGTTTGTAAAGCCATCTCTCCATCACACAGGGACCAGTGATTCCACTGTATCTAGACCAACATCTTGGTCCTAACTCTTGAATCAATAGCTCGGGTTAAGTTAAAGACAACTGGGGAAAAAGCAGCTTTGGCATAGCACTTGGCTGTTCTGGTTCTGGGCTGTAATAATGTACAATTCACAAGGAATTCAAGTGTCTGTGATCTGGATCCCATGACAAGCTAACCCTAACCACACCTGTAAGTACAACTCAATCGTGGGCTCAAGGAGAACTCTGAAACATTTAAGAAACGAATATAAAAGTCTTTAATCATGACAGAAATAGAGGATTATTTAATGAATCCCATGTACCTATCACCCAGAGTCAACAATTTTTAAAATTCTGTCAAACTTGCTTCACCTGTAATCTTTTTCAAGTCACAAATCTCAGATTTTATGTCACTCTACTTTAGGATCCATCAAAACATGTGAATTATTTTCCATCACAAAGTCACAGTCACACCTTATAAAAATAACAATAATTCTTCACTATCACCTGATATCAGGCCATATGCAAATATTTCATCAATGGCCTCAAAAAAATCTTTTTCTGAAAGTTGTGTTGTTAGTTTCATGGTCCAGACAAGGTCTACCTTGGCATTTGATTGTCATGTCTCTAAAATTGAGAATAATTCCTACTCTACCCAGCCCCCCAATCTTATGTCACTGACCAAATTAAAGAAACAAATTATTGTCCTGCCCCACATTCTGGAATTTGCTTCTTTGCTTCCTCATTCAGCATCAGTGTATTCCTCTAACTTGCTAAATTAGTTCTAAAGCCTCTTAGTTCAACTTTTTGATAAAACATTTTTGAATCAACAAAAGAAAGGCTAATATTAATCCTAGTGCCAAATCACTCAGCTCCTTCTCATCAGAAATTCTCAGAATAAATCACTTTCTATGTCAACTCAATTGTTCTACACTTGAATGCATGAGTGTGGTGTAGTAAATTATTTAGTGTGGCTTTTCTACCCATAAGTCTTTGTAAACTCCAAGGTGGGATTTTCTATGAGCAACTGAGGAGCTCCTGATTGCTGAAGGTGTCCACCTGGAGTATTTCTGTTGGGAGTGGCACAAAACAATGTTCTGGGAGGTGCCCACTCTCTCTCAGGTGCTTAGAGTTCTGATGCTATAATTGGCTAGTTTGACCACCCTGCCAGGCTTAAAAAGGAGGCCTCCTGGAAGCAGAACTCTATCTGACTGCTGGTTGAGGAAGACGTGCTGCTGAAAGAGACACGGGCTCCTGAGACACGCGTTGCTGGGAAAGAGATGCAAGAGACACGCATTGCTGAGTGAGACACCGAGGGACCAGCACTGCTGGGAAAGAGACTGTGAGAGACTCTTGGCTGAGGGACGGTGGGCTGGGAGAGAGACTGAGCGTTCTTCCTGAACTTGAGTTGTAGCCTGGTGCTTCCCTAATAAACCCTGTAATCTGTGAGTTCTGTGTGGCCACTGCAGCAAATTATCGAACCCAGGAGAGAGGTGGTGGGTGCTTTGGGAGGAACGGTTGGTGAAAGGGCTGGAGGGAGGCAGCATGTTTGGCCTTGCAGTAATAGGCCTTGGGTTACTGCTGTCTTCCTCTTGTGAGATTAGAGGAGGTCAGAACATGTGGTCTCCTTGCCGTTTTTGCAATGAGTAAGACAGGAAACGGAAACTCCTCATCTTCCCTACAGAGGGAAGGAGAACAGGGTAGAGATGGGGTAGGGGAGAGCCAACAGGGGAAAGCCAACAGCGGAAGGTAAAATGGCATCTGATGTCCTCTTCCTTGGGTGTGAAACAGCATTAAGAAGTAGTTTTACTGGTCAAGAGAGAACAGCGCACAGCTGGCTCACATCCCTACCAAAATGAACCCATTACTTCCATTCCCTTGCATGCCAAGCAGTAACATTAGCTGGCACTAAAGCCGTCTCACCCAGAGATGAGGCCTCAGCACTCTGGAGGAATGAAAATCTTGTCCACGTTTCTCCCAATCCTTTGTGTCTTAAGGAAAAGGCTAAGTTATCCCAGTGATGGGGCTGAAGAACAGGTCAAATGACTTAGCAGTCCAGGTAAAGAGGTTTTTCTTTTTTGTAAAACACACCAATAAAATGGTGTCATATATTTAACTACAGCTTTGGCTTGGGTTCAGCCTTCAACGAGTCAAGTATTAGCAGCATCCCTACATACACCCAAGATTAGTATGAAAACAGGGCTGCAAAAACCTCCGACGGCTCTAACCAGCAGACATCCATGCGGGAACACCCCATCTTACTTATCTCTGTCGCTTCTCTCTTCTATTCCTGCCCTTCTTTGCCTAGTTATTTCTCCTTCTGTTTTGAACTTTTACCTTAAGATACAGTATTTTTTACACTACACTTTGTTACGTTACATACATGTGATATTTGACTATGGTGTCTCAATTCCCTCTCTCAGGTGGAACATTTGATATTTTTCTCTATAAACAAAGCAAACACCTACATGACTTTTAGCATAATCTGATTCTCCATTTTCCAATAATTAAAGATGGTTTTATTTCACCCATTTACAAGGATTAAAGGGGTAGAATCCTCATTTTTCATGTAGGAGTCCTGGGTTCAATTCCTGACCAACGTACCTCATGCACAGCCATCACCTATCTGTCAGTGGGGGCTTGCATGTTGCTACGATGCCAAACGGGTTTTAGCAGAGCTTCCAGACTGAGATAGACTAAGAAGAAAAGGCTGGCAACCTACCTCCAAAAATGTGCCAATGAAAATCCTACGCATCACAATCATCTGATTGACAAACAACCATCAGGAGGGTGCAGGACCCAGCAACATTTCATTCCATTGTGTCACCAGTCGGGGTTTACTTAATGGCAGCAAACAACAACAGGATTAAGTCAATAAAGATGTTCAGAATATCCCAAAGCAGCTCAAAAAGCGAGATCTGGGCTAGAGATAGAACTGGAAGCAGCACCAAGAAAAAGGTTAAACAATAAAAAAATAACTGATCTGAGGATCGCACCTCAGAGCACCCAAGCTTGTAATGAGCAACAGAAGAGGCTGGCTCCCAGGAAGAAATGCAGGCACTGAAACCAACTAATGGTTCAGGGCTATACTGTCAAGACGCTGGAAGGGAGGGTGCAGATGAGAAACACCTCTCCACTCAGTTTGCCCACCTGTGGCTAACCTTTGTGGTTTTGTTTAACTAATTTGTGTCCATGCATTCAATGAAATATTTAATGAGCTAAACTTATCAAATCACTATAAACTGCAACACACACACACTCAGCATAAAATAGGCGGGACTGCTACTTATGCTGAAATTGAGATCGATGGGGCTTACCACCACAGTTCAGGTGAGTGGGGAACACTATCCATGGGAAATTCTAGCATGAAAATATGTGTAACTTTATGAAGTCCTGCCTTCCCTTCTGTTCATCACAGAGAAATCAGAATATCTCACATGTCAACAAAAGCTCAGAATAACTGCCAGCAAAGTGCTCAGAGAGACTTCTGGACAGGAGGCTTACCACCTGCCAGTTCATGCCACAAAAATACTTCCAAATTCCAGCCAAGATTGCAATTCACCCTCAGGCTGAATTTTTTCAGCGGTATGGAGAAAATCTACTTTTGTACCTGGATTTTGAATCTTACTGAATTTCTGTGTGGTCTTGAGCAAATGAGTTAACCTGTGTCTGTCTGTTCATGAGGTGAGTGTTAGCAATCCCCCCACTTACACCCCTGATTATATATGAAAACCAGCCGTTGTTGAGTCAATTTTGACTCACAGCAACCTCCTGTGCGTCAGAGCAGTACTGTGCTCCACAGGGATTTCAGTGGCCGATATTTTAGAAATAGATCAGGCCTTTCTTCCAAGGTGCCTCTGGGTGGGTTGGGTGCTTCAACTTTTTGGTTAGCAGCCAAGAGGGTTCACAGGGGCTCCTTATATGAAAACATGGCCGCAAAAATCTCAGGGAGCTACATCTCAATAGACTTTGAGGCAATAATACCCCTATCTTACATGCTAAATACGAGTCTGAGGGTGGATAACAGTACTTGTTGCAAAGTTGTTACTACTACTATTGCCTTCAGGATTAATGAGGAATAGATCCATCTGTTGGCAGTGTTCCCTCAAATCACAGTACAGATGAACTTGAGTGCAGAGAAGCAATCTTTTTAGAGCAGGTCAATGGGAAACACCTGCAGACAGACTGTAAGCTTCTTCAAGTAAGAAGCTAGGGCTACAGCAGTGACCTGGTGAGCACCTTTCCCTAATAAAAGGGGCCCCCATCAAGAGATAGGCAGAGTCCCTGGGTGGTGTTAATGGTTAAGCACAAACTACTAGCCAAAAGGTTTGTGGTTCTAACCCACCCACAGGCACCCTAAAAGACAGGCCTGCTTCTGAAATGTCACAGCTTTGAAAACCCCATCGAGCAGTTCTACTACGTGCACACCTGGGATTGCCATGAGTCAGAATCAACTTGATGGCAACTAACAACAGGCTGGAATCTATGTCCCAAATGAACTGAATTCACCTCAGGCAACATCAATCTCGCTAGGTGGAAGGACATCAACAGGAAAACATGTTCCAGCCTGTGGCTGACACAACTGGGAAGGATCATACACCTCCCACAACAACCCGTATCAGGGACAAAAGATTCAGGGGTGGCAGTTCCATTCCACTGCATAGTGGAAGTGGCATATTGTGGTAAATAGAATAATGGCCTTCCTAAGATGTCGGCATCCTCATCCCCAGAACCTGTGAATATGAGACCTGGCATGGCAAAGGGGAATTAAGGTAACAACACAAAGGCTTCTAATCAGCTGACCTTGAAATAGAGATGTGACTCTGGATTATCTGGGTGCGTCCAACACCATCATGAGTCCTTAACTGTGGAAGGGGAGGCAAAAGAGTCAAGACTTGACCTGCCATTGCTGGCTTTGAAGGGAGGGAGCCACAGGCCAAGCAATGC